CCTGAATAAAAAGGTATTTGGAGCCCTGCCAACAGTGTGTACACTACTTGAAGTATGTGTAGTCAGACCTGCTGCTGCTTTATATAAGGGTGAAGGTGGCACAGAACAAACATCTTAAATTCTTATCTCACTTACATAATTACAGGTATGGTCTATAGATCTGTCACTGGACTTCTGAGGTATGGGACATCTTAGGCTATGCTAAGTTAATTTGTTGGTTCTCAGATGAAGGTATTAAACCTAAGATGTGGGATGAAAACAGTCTGAGGGGAGGTTTGTACAATTGTAACAGTGGGGGTTATAGGTGCTACCAACTGACCCGGCCGATGGGTCTAGACCTTTTAATCAAATTGTTAGAGCGTCAGGGTTGTGACTATGTAAGCTGGTGCCTGGGTTTGGTGTGGGTTTGAACCCCGGCCCGGGACCAGGAGTGTCTTTGTGTTTCTTCTCTCCTAACTCTTACACAGGTTCAGGTGCTGAATATATCATAACCATCTTGTGCTCAGACCTCCTTTTTGATTCAGTTTGAAATATTGATGCAGAGAATAGTCAGAGGCTTGCAGAGGACTAATATTTCTTTTGGTGTTAAAGTGGCAACTACACATTAATGTGAACACTGAACGTAGGAGATCTTGAGAGGTTTTGACAAAATGTTTTGTTTCAATTACTGCATAAAAGTGATCAAAGATCAAAGGCAGGAGAACTACCGTCTTGTTTTGATAATTCTCAGCTCCACTTCAGGTGTTTAAAGACTTGCTAGTGATTTATAATACGTTGTTGTGGTCCTGTGGGAGTTTTATAGAGCACACAGGACATTAGTGTTTGCAGTCCTACACTTACTGTGGGCTCTGTTTTTCACATAAAACTGGGCTGAGACACAGTCAGACTAAATATCCAGGGTTAGAAATACTGGGTGCATGTGCACCTTATATAATTTAGTTCAACCAAATTTGGAGCTGTGCAAGCAATTTTTTTGTAGGTCACTGGTGCACCCAAATATTTTTGTGGTATTTTGTACATATTACATGTACATACAGGATATTTTTGACATCTAAGTGTCAGAAAAACAATAAAATCTTTGTTGTAGTTACTTGTTTAAGATTTTAAAGTTAGACGTCACCCATGTCACTTCAAGCTCAGACAGAATTTGACAGAGAAGCTGTTTTTTTACTTCATATTCACCACAAAACAAGGCTCATGGGAGCCACTCAATGTTTTGGTTTACTAGACAGTGAGGACAGATGTTTGTTGATGTTTGACTTGAAAAGGTAAGGTTATACCCATTTGGGAAACAATCATGGCATTGTGGTAATGAAAATAAAAACTACAATATCCCATATATTAGCTAGTCTTGTTTTGGAGACATTTAATACGTTGACATTGTTACTCAGCACTTTGCCCAGTTGCTGACGCAGGTACCAGTAATATAACCCTCAGGCCAGAAACATTTAATAAAGCCACTTGACTAACGATCTGCCGCGCTAATTAGCCTGATTTATAACCAAAGTGTAACGACCCCTGAAGAGTCTCGTCACTCCACATTTTACTGCTCACAAGTGTTTGGATGCCACTTTGCTGGGGAGAAGTGATTTCGGAAGTTCAGCTCAAGACTACAACACTTTCTTAAGACTTTCTTAAGGCTGTTCACAGTTCAGGAAAGGTCTTGTGAAGGTTTGAGTGTCTTTTGTTTTATTTTTTTTCACAGTTTGTTTTATGTTAATCTGTCATGGTCTAAACTCTAAATAATTTATTTAAGGAGTTGCTGGTTACAGAGAACAATTTTGTCTGTCAAGTCTTCATGTTGGTGCATTTGCGTATTTCTATGTCTTTTGTACATGTGTTTCTATGTTTTTGAGCGAGGTGGGCGGGGCTTTGAGACATTTTTTCCCTCAGTTAGGATTTATACTGTGAATTGTGAGTAGAGATAGACACAGTCAGGCAGAGAGTTGGACATGTGTTACTTTTAGTACAGTTGGAGCTACTTACTATTCCAGATACTGTAGCAGATTAAGGGCTTTTTCCTCTGAGTCAGGGTTAAGACTGTAATTTGTGAGAAGAGATACCTCGGGATAGTGGGCTAATACTGGCTTCTTGCTGTCCCTGACACTCAAGCAAAGTTCAACTCATGATTTGTTAGTTAGAGAGATAGTCAGGCAGAAAGTTTAACATTTAGCTACCTGCTGTTCCTGATACTGTAATTCACTTTATGTTCACGGTAGCAAAATTTCACGGTCTGAGAAAAATGGACATGTTCACGGAATTATATGTTCACGGTGGTGACAGGTGCAGAAAAAAGAAAGTCCAGGAATTATGTGTTAACTGTAATGATAAGTTCACTGTACAGAAGCAACAGTGAAAACAGTGAACTTATCAGTACAGTGAACAAATCAGGAATTACAGTAATCATATCAAGGAGAGTTCAGAGTCAGGATTTAGCTTGTGATTTGTGGTTAGAGAAAACAAATTGCAAGGAGACACTCTTACATGTGTTTGGAAGGACAGTAGCTACCTTCTGTCCTTGATACTGTCTAGAGCATAGTTCAGAGTCAGGGTTCAGACTGTGATTTGTAAGTCTAGATCCTAGTAGATAGGTAGAGATAGACCCTGATGACATATGTGTTTAGAAGGACAGTCTGAGTAACCTGATGGCCTTTAATGGATACTCAAGCTCTTAGTTCAGAATCAGGGTTTAGCTTACAAGTACTTAACGTGATTTGTGAGTGTAGAACATGTAGGCAGGCAAAGCTAGAGACTGTGACAAAATTGTTTTTAGATGGACAGTCTGCTACTTGCTGTCCCCGATACTGGAACAGAACAGTTTAACAGTCAGGGTTTAGCTTACAAGTGATTTGTGAGTGTAGATACAAACATTGTAGGCTGAGACCCTGACAGACTGTGTTTAGAAGGACAGTTGACTACCTGCTGTCAGTGATGCTGTCCATGTGTGTGTGATAACCAGGCTGAAGTGATAACAAAGTTTGTACTCTAGTAAGCAGACATGACCCAAGTTTACCTTTGACAGGTCAGTCTTCTGTCTCCCAATTTTTCAAAGCCAATATTCTTAACATTTATCTACATACTGAGTTGAAACCACACTTTCCCAATGAATATTGAACCTCATGGAGCAAAAATACCCAAAATTCTGATGGAAAATGGTAACTGGAAGGGCCCTGGGCTGATCTTTAGGGCACCACCCAGAAAATATAGGACTCATCTCGGGGCTTGTTTCTGCAGTTTTAATTGTGCAAAGTATGAAAAATTACTGACTGAAACGTGCTAATAATGTACAGTATGTGTCAATATCACAAAGATTGCCTTGTTCAGAATATTTCCAGTTTTGCAGCCATGAAAATAGTGAAATCTCGCATTGGATGCCTTTAAGTATTTGGCGCAGTATTTGTGTTCCCGAGTGTTTTCCACAGAACCAGACACATGTCCTGTAGGTTTGACAGGTCCAGAATGAGTCACACATTAATGTTGACTTTGCTCACGCCTCACAACTTATCCGCAAACAGACCTCACTTCTCCGAACGGTCGCTGGGCCAGGTCAGAGGGGAAAGTTCACAGGGTGGTTGGTCGAGCATATGGGAACTGTTCGAAGGTAAAGGTAGGCAGTCATCATCTGTATTGAGGTTACTATTATAATGCTGACTGATAGTGCATTGTGGCCACATATTTGATGTTGGGTTTATGTAGTAGAGGTGTCTGTAGATTTGTTGTCCCTTATTGGAGCAGAACTGAATCTTGAAGGAATTTCTGTCTTCTTTTCATGAACAGTTGAGTTTGGTGGAGCATATTAAGGGCCTGTGAATTTCCTTGTTTGTACATTAGGCAAGTACACATGTGTTTGGAGGTGTGTTGAGAGAGTGGGCAGCCAGTCTGAGTCCTTTACATATTATATGGAGCGACATTATATGATACACTAGTTTGAAACCAGTTTCAGTTATATAATTAGACATGAATGGCTTGTTTAATTAGTTGTGACAAGATGTTATAGCACCAATTGGCATGTGTTGCACAGATACCTGTAGTGTACATTTATTGGTAGGAAAGTCAGAACATTATAACCCTTAATTATTATTATTATAGTATTCTTTACTTTACTCAATATTTACTTAAGTACTTTATTGGCCATGGAGACTGACAACATATTAGTACACGGGTCAACAAGATATATCTGCTTGTGTACTAATACTATAGATGACATATCCCAGACAAAACTGTACATACATACTGTACTACATTTAGCTGATATATATGCGTGTGTACTAAAACTATTCCTGTATGTAGTTGTTGGTGGTCAGTGGAGGTTTGTATAGATGTGACAGTGTGGACCATTCTGGGACCAGGTTGTGTTTACAAACATCCTTATCACATACAGAGTTCAGCTGCCTGGTTTGTGTCAGAGGTGGGACTGTCTGTTACACTGTTTGTTGTACATCATTCTGGTCTTTCACTTCATGATGGGACTTATATGTAAGCTTGTTTCTTCTTTTTAATCAATTACTATGCATTCATGAGATAGAGAAAGAAGAATTTTGGTCTTCAATTTTGTCAGTATTGTCTTGTAGAATCTGATGTATAAACTAATACAGGTACATGTACCCTTATATTTCAGCAAAAAAACTTACTACTAAAACTACAAGTCACAAATTATAATTAGTAATTTGCCCCTATTTTGCAGGTATTTAGAAGCAGGAAGTTAAAGAGACCTGGACTAAAGAGCCAGCCATGAATTTTGGTCTTCAATTTTGTCATGACCAGTATATTCTTGTAGAAGTCACCACAAACTTAATAATTTAGTAATTTTCCTCTGTTTTGCAGGTATTTAGAAGCAGGAAGTGAAAGAGACTTGGTGTAGGCCTAAAGTCAGCCATGAGTGCTGCCCAGAGAACCAGAAATAGCTAAGGCCATAACACAAAAAGTGGTTGGCTAGTCTAATAACTGACCACTTTTTATGTATGTCACAAAGTAGTTATAATTTGCCCCTATTTTGCAGCTATTCAGTGAAAGAGACCTGGAGTAAAAATTCCCACCTCAGCCATGAGTGCTGCACAGAGAACCAACATGGAGTGGTCCCCCCCAGAACTGCCGGACACCAAGCAGCAGACAGAACTGCTGGCTCTACAGAACTGCCAGCACTCCAAACCGCTCCCGTTGTCAAGGAAACGCGTTCTGTCCCCGCCCCACAGTCCCCACGGAGTTTATAACTACAGAACACCGCCGCACTTAAGACAGAACGGCCTGGAGGATCATAGAATACACCCGACAGAACAGTTCTACGTTTTAAAGGATATAGGTAAAGAATTTACAGTATTAAATATTGTAATTCACTTTATGTTCACGGTAGCAAAAGTTCACGGTCTGAGAAAAATGGACATGTTCATGGAAGTATATTATATGTTATATTCACGGTGGCGACAGGTCACCGTCAGCAGCAGCAGGAAGAAGAAAGTCCAGGAATTATTTGTTAACTGTAATGATAAGTTCACGGTACAGATTGTGGCTGTGAAAACAGTGAACGTAACAGTACAGTGAAAATATCAGGAATTACAGTAACTGTTTCGTAATAGATGCAAAGTAGTGACAATATTAATTTTATACCTATTTATACCTATTTCAGTCAGACCAACCGCTATGCAGAACCATGTTGCTATGCAACAGCAGCCAGTTGCTATGCAACAGCAACACAGAACCGCCACAGACTACCACCACAGTGCCTTAAACATGCTCTACAACCAAGTACAGAACTCTGTAGAACAGCACTTCGCTATGCACCAGAACTCCAACTCTATAGAGTTGCCTCCCAGGCAACCACCGTTCCCCCATGCAGACCCTCTGGTTGTCATGACGACACAGAGTTCTGTAGAATACACCCAGAGCAGTTCGCGGTCGAGCACGCCACTTTCCTCCAAGCCGGGATCTCCAGAACAGCTGACGATAGAACAATTCCAGAACAGGATCGTGGTGAGCCAGCTCCAGAACCCTCGGATCGTACCACTCGCGAGCGGGGAGGTGAAGCTGGCCCTCCCCGCGGGGAGTAAAATGGTGATGCCCGACCTGGAGGACTTCTCGGATTACCAGTGTGCCGTGTGCGGGGATCACGCGTCCGGGTACCACTATGGGGCGCTCAGCTGCGAGGGCTGCAAAGGTAAATAAACAAACAAACAAACAAGTACACAATTTATACTATCATGAAAGTTCATCTGTATTGGTAGTTACATGTTAAATGTTAAAACTTTTGACCCAGTGTTGACGTCACACTTAGAAGCCACGTGACAAGCTTCACTGGGTCAGTCTGCTGAGGAAGACCAGAGTGACTGGTCGAAAGCTCTAGGTGAGATACCGCTAACTTTTGTGTTGGATCAAAAGTTTGAACTTTAAACAAACAAACAAACAGACAAGTAAATGTTTTAAAGTTTTTTGCCTCTAAACTGTAGGTTGACCTTTTAGCAATTTCTTTACCTTGACAACATAACGCTCTTATTTCAAACCAATATTAGTCTGAGTTCCATGATATTTCCATCCTTGACAACAGATTTGTGTGTAGTTAAACTGTGACACAGCCCAAAATGTAGTTTAGTGGGAGTCTCTCCTTGCCTGTGTTTGGACAAATACCAGTTGTGTATTTTAAACACTCTGCCTAACACTGGCACAGTAAATCTGCCATGTTGAGTTTACAACTGTTACACTAAACACACCCTGCTGCTAACCTGTGTAGGTCCCTGTGTGTGCTTGATCTGCAAAAGGCTAAGAATAATAATATAGGATTTTAGGCTTTGATTTCTGATCCAATGTAGAAAACTAACATGCTAAGGGGGTGTCACTAAAACTCCGGCCAACACTTGCACAGTAAATCTGCCAAGTTGAGTGTACACACCAGTGGTTTCCTGTGTAACTGGTCCCTGTGTGTGTGTTACAGGGTTGTTGGGTAGGATTATTATCAGTCACGCACCAAAGCTATAAACCAACCCACACACTGGTACATTATAGTACACTCAGTCTGGTGCACTGTCTGTTCATGAACTTCTGTTTCTCCTAATTGTATCTAAACTTTAAGGTTTATTATCAGAATTATATTTAGTCACGCACCAAAGCTGTAAACCCACACACTGGTACACTGGTGCCCTGTTACTGACTGTTCATAAACTTCTGTTTCTACTAATTAATTTCTTAACTTCTAATAAAAGTTTCTTCCTGAAGCAGGGCTGGAAATACTGTGTGCACCTTTAGTTAGTGCACCCAAATTTGGAGCTGTGCACCCAATTTTTTCTGGCCCCCGACAACGCTCTACGCTAAATTTTGAGAGTGGGCTAAAATATACTGTAAATTCTGGGTAGCTACGTAGAATTAGAACGGCTGAATATACTATACAAAAAAGGGCATGCTGGCGCCGACACAGAGGTAGACTTTATATTTATCAATATATAGAATTGATAAATACAAGAAATCAAAGATTTTAGACCTACGTGAAGTATTTAGAGTTCTTACTATTATTTCTCCTTTTAGTGTCAAGTTTGATGTCCAATTCAACTTCCAATGTCTGCAGTTAGAAAATTTCCCCCTCACTTCTTTTATTAATCAACATTCCAATGATTATCATCTCCTTTCCTCCAAAATCTTCAGAAGAAATATCAAACTTTATAGTGACCCAAACCAAATATTTTAAAGTCCTGCTGAGCGCAACAAAAATTATTGTTGTTTTGCACATACAGTACCAATTCTATATACTAGTAACACCCTGTATAGGTACGATTTGGGGGTATTTCTCGTGCAACGCTTCACACCGCAGCGAAACGCAACGAATGCGGAAGTAACTATGCCACCGCAGGGCAAAAAAATTGGGGGGTCTATGATCTAATTAAGTAATGAAATTATTGAAAAATATTGTGCCAGGAATGTCAGCAGGACAAGGGTTAAGATTGATGTGTGAGTTTGTTTTCGGTTGTGAAAATGGACCCCTGCCTGCTGACATGTTCTATACGTGAGTCAGAGCCGGTATTTCCCCTGTCCAGCCTGTGTGGACAGACTTGGAGCAGGAAGCAGTAAATTGAAATATTTGAGACTAAGGCCACACCAATTTAATTTGGTTGGTTCTCGGATTTTAAATAAATCGAGAGGGTGAAAAAAAAAGAAAATAAAAACAGGTCTAGGCATCCTATTATAGCCCCAAATGCTACCATAGGAGCCATGAAGTCAACACAAAAGGCTAGGTTAATATTTAAACAATGAATTTTGAATCCAACCACTGCATTCATACATTGTAGATGGAGGTGTTGACTTTATACATGTAGCTTATATCATAACATTTCCGGCTATCATGGGGTCCCTTGCATGCCCGTAGCCAGGGGGGGTTCGGGGTTCGGAAGAACCCCCCACAAGCCTTAAAGGTCCACTTTTTGGTCCACTTTTTATGTAAAGGTCCACTTTTTGGTCCACATTTTATGTAAAGGTCCACTTTTTGGTCCACATTTTATGTAAAGGTCCAAGATTTTTCTTGAAAAGATGGACTGGAATCGTAGAAAAACTGCTCCCTTTGTCATTGAATAAAAATTTATCTCTGATTTTTTCTTGGAAATCCTCACAAAAATGCACGAAATGCCATTTTAGAAGGTTCATTTTTCAAAATTTCCCGGGGGAGCATGCCCCCGGACCCCCCTAGGAACCTCGCGCCTTTGGCGCTCGCCTCGCGCCTACGGCGCTCGAGGTCCACTCAAGCAGTCGGAAGAACCCCCCCATTCAAAATCCTGGCTACGGGCATGCCTTGGCCTGTTTTTTTTTTAAATTCTGTCCTATTGCTTCATATTTCTTCTGAAAAAAATCTGAGAAACAACAAATTAAATTGGTGTGGCCTTATCTGTTAAAAATTGTTCGATTCAGACAATTTGAAAATAGTTAAAATTCAATCAACCCAGCTGTAACTTCAGTCAAAAGTTATTCCTGGTAGCATTTATCCGACAGGTAAAATTGCAAGGAGGAAAAAAAATTTAGAAGCGATGAAAGAAATTTGGCTCAGATCCAGACATGGTGGGAAGTTTAACGACTCTGAGAAAGTGAAATGACTTACCTGCTTCTTAGAAGGGTGCACTCTCACTTTTCCAGATGTCTTGAAGCCAAGAACTTTCCCTGTTATCAGTGTGAGATATGTGTGTGTAAGGCCTAGGAAAAAAAATGTTGTGTTTCCTGTTTCACGTTCAACTGTGAACCTAGAAAAAACTGCCAACCTTAGACTTTTATAGGGGGTGGACCCCTGCAAGCGACATAATTTTTTGAGCTGATCAACCTTTTCTAGCTCCATGATCTGACACCTGAGTGATGAAACATTGTACAACTGGTTTTCTAACACTGACATTGAAAATGTCCTCATGCAAGTTTTACTTTGTTAAACTGTAGTGTATCAAGTTGGACCCCTATATAGACATCACTGAAGTCTAAAAAAAAGAACATAAGATACAGTACAGTATGAAGTCTAAAAATAAAAGAAAATAAGATACAATACAGTATCATTACAGTTAACAAATAATTCCTGGACTTTCTTTTTCCTGCACCTGTCGCCACCATAAATATATATTATAGTTCCGTGAACATGTCCATTTTTCTCATACCATGAACTTTTGCTACCGTGAACATAAAGTGAATTACAGTAATCCCTACCTACAGACCCTAATTTTTTCAGGACTGAAACGGAAAACACAACATTTTTTTCTTCGGCCATATCTATCTATGTGAGCTATGTTAGTTGTGACAGTGTTTACTGGTTAAGGGGGAGGTGGGATTCTTTTACTGTTATTTAAAACCTACAAGTGACAAATTTACACCAATCTGTTTAACTGATACCCTGCAATGTTCATTACCAGCCTGGTTAGAGGTGTGGCTTGTGTAGTTGTGATGTTTAATGGTTCAAGGAAAGAATACGAGAAGATAACGTTATTTTTCATATCACAATGATTTAACCAAAATAACAGGAATTTGAATCATAATTCATTTATTTGCCAAGAGGCCATGTTGCCACTCAATGACAGGAACACCTGATGTAATGTCACTAAGAGTTTTACCAAGCTTCAAGTTTTAACGAAAAGTGTGTTGGGTTCTTTAACCTACATACTGGTTCGAAGGCTTCTGCATACACACACAAACACACATACATGTACTGTCCCCGTCTGAAATACTTATTACTCTTTGTCTCTTTCTCTTCCCTTTTAAGTTTTTGCTGCCTTTTTTCTTATCACTTCCTCTTTGCCTTTCCCTCCCTTATTTCCTCTTTTTCTCTCTCTCTTCTTATCATATAATATATCTGAATCTAATTGACACCTGACTACTGTTAAAGTCCTCAGGGTTTCGGGATTGGAACCCGGGACCACTGAATTTGTTCCCTTGGACAAGAATCAAGTCCAACAGTGCATTTGCCAGAACATTTCCCCAGACAGATATCCCGTCCCTGACCTATACATGACCCTGTCTCAGCTACACGCCTGATTACCCCCCTAATCCTGCAAATGGCTCCTCCCAGTTTAACTACCTGGTCTTAAAAATGAATTAGCTTGTGGACCGTCCACAAGACCTTAGGGGAGGGGTGAGTGTGCTGAATTTTAAGTAAATCTTGTTGCAGAAACTTGCTACTTACATGCGAAAAATAATTACTGTGTGAATAAAATTCACTATTCTTTGGAAATATCTTTGAAGTAAATTATTTGTAGTATCCATGCTCAATCGTAGAATCACTAACCTCTAAAAATAAAAATCCCCCCCTTCCAATTATGAAACTGTTGCAGGCCTAATCCTATAATGACCTACTGGCTGGTTTATGAGCTGAGCTGAAACATTGTAAAAACTTCAAACAAACAGAACTCATACTGGTGGAGCTGTGCCAAGCTCTATTATAGTCAAGTAAGATAGTTCTGCTTTGCTTGCCTAGCCTTGAACCCAGACTGTTTCTAGGGCTTACCCATGTACATGTACAGGCCAGCTCCTTAGCTCCAGGCCCAACATGCTAGCCTGGGTGCCAGACTGTTTCCAGGGCCTACTGCTCTGGGTTTTCTATACACAACTCATGATCAGTACACAGTACTACAGATTTGTCTTTTTGACATCATAGGCCACACTAATTTATTTCCTTAATTGTCTTTGATCAGACAATTTACACAAAAACTT